TTAATGGATTGTTCCATTCGAATTAATAACTTTGACGACAAGATGAAAGTTTTATAAAGAAAATTAATCGGCCAACGGGCCGAGTAAAAGTTAGCAACAATTGTGAGATACTCATTTCTCGAAGACTGGAGGATAGGCGATTTTTTATTCGGTTTTCTAGAATTGGGTTTCTATTAACTTACTCTACTTCCTCATATTACCAGAAATAATATTGTTTCACAAGGTAACAGGTACTCGAACTTGGTTCATAAGACTGATTTTTTATTGCATCATTCATGCCTCTTTTTTGCTAAAATTCACTATCTTTATCACCACTATGTTTGGGAAGGGGGGTTAATGGGAGGGGAGCAAGTTTGGGGGTAAATGCATTTTCCCTCATTTGGATAATTATGAATAGTATAGAGGGGTGCAATTAGGAGGGCTTAGGATAGGATCAGTAACCAATGGTTACTGACCTATGAGTAACTAAATCCGGACCTTTAGATTTAAGTGGGCCAAGAAAATTCAGATCTAAGGGTTGTCAATTAAAGACATTTTATTTTCTCTAGTTTTCATAATCGACTCTTATCTTCTTCGTTTTAACTCGATTTCAAATTTTTTTGCACACATGGAACGAGTTTGTTGTGCTCTACAAAATGAGATCAATTTTCAATATATTTCGATAAACTTTTTTTTACCAACTACATACCATATGGTAACTTCTTCATTTTTAAGTCGTTTTTGAAAATGTTTGCTCATAAGGAACGAGTTCATCATGATCTATTGGATCTAAAAATTTCTGGGTGAAAAAAATACTGGACCAAAAATTACCATACTTTACCACTACGGTATGTGGGTGGTAACTTGTGGTAAACAATGATGAAAGTCGTAAATGACAGTTAGTATACTCCTACTATCATGTATTCAACCTTCTTACCATATTGGTATGTTCATACCATCATGGTACGCTTTCTTACCATATGGTATTAAATACGAGCATACCATATGGTAATGACTGATAAAAAATTATTCAATTTTTTTTAAAAGAGCACATTTAATCTGATATATCTGTGCAAAAAAAAATTAAATTTCGACTTAAAACGAGAGAGAAATCGTTCGTTAAAGATTAATAGGGAAAAAATAAAAGACTTTCCAGAAGAGAGGGGATGTTGATGTCATACAGATGCGGACAAGTTACTGATGGTTACTCACCATATGAGTTACTGACTTGATCAGCTCCCAATTAGGAGGGCAAATCCACTATTCTCATTAACCCCCAATTTGGGATACAAATGGAGAGAGAAAGAGTGGAAGGATGTATAAAAGATAAAATTAATATATATTGTTATGTTTTATATGTATGATTATATTTTATGATTGTTGTGACTAAAAATGTCATAATGTCATGTAATCATTATTCTACAATAATACTTATTATTATTATGATACTAAGAATAATTATTATAATGATTAAATAATAATAATTATGATTTTTACATTGATTCTGGGAGACATCATTTGATATACGATGAGAAAGTTTGTTAAATTGGCTTCAACTGTCTGAATAAGTGAGTCGAGATTTGTCAAATCGAATTGAGATAGGATGATCGTTTATGGTTAAAATCGATTTGATAATGTCCGTTTCACTCCGATTTAACCATCATTTTGATAAATCAACGCACGGTGGGAGACATGAGCTAGTTATATGTCTTGGCCACGGATTGAGCTTCAAGCATAGTCATTCGAGGTCGCTCAACCAATTATTATTATTATGGACACAACAATTTTATTTATGAATATTTATAATTAATTACTATTTGAGTATTAATATTTTAATATTATTTTACTAAATTATATTATTTTAATATTATAAATATTATTATTTTTTATTTCATATTTATTTATGTGTGAATATTTTATAACAATCTTACGAATTTGATATATCTATTTTATAATAATATAATTTACTTACTTTTCACTAATTTGCACCCCCTACTTTTTCATCCAAACAACAATTTACCCTTCCACTTACACCCCCCCCCCCAACAACTTGCACCTGCCAGCAATTTACCCCTCAACTTGTACCCCTCGAATTTGCACCCTCCTAGTTGCATATGCACATGTTTCTAAAAAAAATTATACAACAATAATCTATACACTCATTACATTATCAAATTCCATAACTCACGGCTGGTTGGCCGGGGCTCCACGCTAGTTCTAAGGCTTAGGATAGGGTCAGTAACCATTGGTTACTGACCTATAAGTAACTAAATATGGACCTTTAGATCTAAGTGAGTTCAGAAAATTCAGATCTAAGAGTTGTCAATTAAATACATTTTATTTTCCCTAGTTTTCTTAAGCGGCTATTATCTTCTTCGTTCTAACTCGGATTTCAATGTTTTTTTGCACAGATGGAACGAGTTCATTGTGCTCTACAAAATGAGATCAATTTTCAATATATTTCGAGAAACTTTTTTTTACCAACTACATACCATATGGTAACTTCTTCGTTTTTAAGTCGTTTTTGAAAACGTTTGCTCAGAAGGAACGAGTTCATCATGATCTATTGGATCTATAAATTTCTGGGTGAAAAAAATACTGGATAAAAAATTACCATACTTTACCACTATGGTATGTGGGTGGTAACTTGTAGTAAACAATGATGAAAGTTGTAAATGACAGTTAGTATACTCCTACTATCATGTATTCAACCTTCTTACAATATTGGTATGTTCATACCATCATGGTACGCTTTCTTACCATATGGTATTAAATAGGAGCATACCATATGCCATATGGTAATGACTGGTAAAAGATTATTCAATTTTTTTGTACTAAAAATATATCAAAGTGGATATCATTTTAAAGAGCACATTTAATATGATTTATCTGTGCAAAAAAACTAAATTTCAACTTAAAATAGAGAGAAATCGTCCGTTAAAAATTAAAGTGGAATAGATAAAACATAAAAGACTTTTCAGAAGAGAGAGGATACTGATGTCATGCTGATGTGGACAGGTTACTGACCATAGAGTTACTGACCTGATCCGTTCTCCTAGTTCTAATAAGGATTAATTACATGGTTGGTCACTGAAATTATGAAAAACGTTCAGGTTTGGTCACTACAAATATTTTATTCCATTCGTGGTCACTAAAATTATTCAGACGATTCAAGTTTGGTCACTCTCCGTTACCTTCCGTCAACCTCCATTATTGCCGTCAGTTTTTTGCTGACGTGGCTAACAGAAGTGCCTAATAAGCTAATTTTAATCCACAAAATAAAATCAGGCCGACCACCTCATTAAAACCTGCCACATAAGAAACCAACCCAACCATTGACCCGTCCCTTCCTCTTGTTCACCCAACTGGAAAAAATCCTTCTTCTCTCAAATCCCAAATCAAATCGCAAACATACATCGGTCTTCTTCCCAAAAAACTACTCAACGCCAGCCAACGAAAACATTTGCCATCCGACCGTGTCCCGGACGTCGGTCTTCTTCATAGCGTTGTATAGGGTTGAGAACGGTGGATCATGCCATGCGTGTTGTTGTTCAGAAGAATAATTGCCATGATTTCGGCAGCGGAGGCGGAGGAAGAGGGACATGGGCGGCTGGAGTCGGAGGGAGAAGGATAGTCGAGGAGATTGCCACCAATTCTACCTCCAATTATGCCTTGCGAAGACCGAGATTCGAGTTCTTTGCCGCCCATCGATGTGAGATTCGAGTTCTTGGTCGAGCCCCAAGTTTGCTTATGTCATGATCTCTCTCTTTGTCTTCTTCTATTCCCCTCTCCTGATTCCTTTCTCTTTCCCTCTAGATTCTGATCTTCTAATGCTCCCCCATCTTCCCTCTTCTTCTTCATATATAACCCACCCCATTGCCAAGAAAGGGGGGAAATTTTTTTGAAATGAGATGGATTTTCCCAATCAAATGAAGCAGGGAAGGGGGTTTAGGCGGAGTGGGCGGCGAGAAGTTGAAGGACCGGGTTAAGTTAGTGTAATTGAGATATTAGTAAAAGGTTAGGCGTAGCAGTTCTGACGTTGTATTGGACGACGACGAGATCGGTTTTGTGGCAAGGCAAATCAGAGTGACGGGAGAGGATGAATTGTGAAGATGATTTGTTTGGTTAATTTGTATAATTATTAATTGGAATATTTTTTTAGGTCGGGTGGATCAAGAAAGAAAGGTTGGGTCATGGGTTGAGTGGGACAATCTAACATGGTGGGTTTTTAATGAGGTGGCGGGTTGGGTTAAATTTTTTTTTTTGTTAAAAATAGCTGATTAGACACTTCTGTTAGTCACGTCAGCAAAAAACTGACGGCGTTAACGGAGGTTGACGGAAGGTAACGGAGAGTGACCAAACTTGAATCGTTTGATTAATTTTAGTGACAACGAACGAAATTAAATATCTTTAGTGACCAAACCCGAACGTTTTTAGTAATCAGTGACTGACTATGTAATTAACCCGTTCTAATAATAATGGTCAAGTCCCAAAGCATCCCCCGCTGGTCCCTTTTGCCTCTATTATTATCTGTGTGGTCCCTCGAGAGTCGAGTCAGCAGTCGGTACGGTAACGAGTTTAGAATTCCGAGGAAAGATGATATATAGTTACAGTGTTACACACACCACCACCCACGGCCCACTTCTGCGAAGACGAAAACAATAGACAATAATTAATGTGGGAATACGAATTTTCAAGGCAGAGCCTCCCCACCCCCACCCCACCCCAGCAACACAAACAAACCATAAGTCCATAACATTAGCAGCCGGCTATTTTGAGGTAGTAGTTCCTTCCGGGATGTTAGATCAAATTGGAGAGAAGATGAGCATGATTCATATGCGCAAAGCAAGGATGACAGTAGATATCAAAATTATTCCAACAGTGAGTTGCCCCGTCCAGACTTGAGGATACACGTTTGCAGAGAAAGAAAAACACGGACGGAAACAGCGATAAATGATAACAAGTCAATCAAGTGAGAGGCTATTTCTTGTTTTCCCTCCCAGCCTCATCAACCTTGTAACTTAGAGCTCTCCATCCCATATCTCCTCAATGCTGTGGTGCCCAGGCACTGCCTCGTTCACGAATTGAGTCCCCCTCAGCTGCCTTGCCTGCAAATTATTATATTTTATTTAGTTGGGGGTTACCGCTTCCATTCATTGGCTTTGATAACAACACAACGATCAAAAGAGTTGAACTTGAAACCTACCTGCTCGATTTCTGACAGCTTAGCGAACAGCTCGTCTGGGATAGACCAATCAAGGACTTCCAAGTTCTCCTTGATCCTGGACACGTTAGTACTCTTGGGAAGCACACTGTGACCCATTTGCAGCCCCCAACGAAGGGCCACCTGGGCTGGAGTTTTGCCCACCTTCTCCGCAACCATGTTCAAGATTGGGTTCTTCAGTACATCCATGGTGAACCACACCGTGCCAGGGGATCCCAATGGTGAATATCCCTGAAAACAGAACACAACCCCCCCAAAAAATCAAAACACTCTATACACGCCCGCACCATAGTTTACTACGCTCATCAACTTGACCGACACATTAATAGGAAAAGAAGTGTGCTCACAGTAAGATGAACCCCCTTGGATTTGCAGAACTCGTGGAGCTTAGGCTGCTGCCAATGAGGGTGGCACTCCACCTGAAGCACAGCCGGAGGGATGCGAGCAACCTCAATCAAATCCCCAAGTTTCTTGGACGAGAAATTACTCACTCCAATCGCTCGAGCTTTCCCCTCATCGTAGAAAGCCTCCATCGCCCTCCACGTCTCCGGGATATCGGCTGCCACAACGTTGTCGGGCTTCGACCCAACTGCCCCCTTCCTGAATCTAACCGGCCAGTGGATCTACAACAAAGAGGGGACCAGAACAATCATTCATACCCAACTAACTAGAATCACTTCACATAACAGCTAAATTCATCTTCTACATCCGGAAACATAGCAATTACCAGGTATAGATCTACATAGTCAATCTGCAGGTCACGAAGAGTTCCTTCCAGCGCAACCTTGACATCTTCTGGTGAATGGTTAGCGTTCCTGGCATTCGATTATCCTCGTATTAGGAATATACTTACAACCCCTTTCAAGGTCGTCTTGTTCAAACAAGGGCAAAAGAAGAAGAATACTAATTAAACAGAGTCCATGTTGCTTCTGTGAAACCCTAGGGAAACAGAGGCGAACCAGAGTTTGGAAGTAATGAACAAATCCTCGCGCTTCACCACGCCCTCGTCAAAAAGCTTCTTCAGAACAGCTCCCACCTGCAAGCTCAGCGCCCAAAACAAGTACGGCAGCCAAGAAAGCAAAAAAAGTTGAGAACCCATATCTTCTCTGTGAGGTGAGATATTAAACACCTTAAGCTCGTTCCGTCAAGTTACCTCCTTCTCGTTGCCGTACGCTTGAGCACAGTCAATATGGCGGTACCCAATCTGCATCGGACAACAAATGAGCAACTACTTATGTGTCCAAAAAACCAGAAAACTGAGACAAGGGGAGAGAAAGAAGGGGAAAAAAAGGAAAAAAAAGGGTTGCAGCAGTAAAACGAACTTTAACGGCAGCCTCAACGGCGGCGCCAACAAGACCAGGTGCAGCCTGCCACGTCCCCAGCCCCACCGCCGGGATACTAGCCCCGGTGTTCAGCTGGAAAGACTCCATTTCTTTTCCCATTCTCTGCTTTCTCCCTTCTCCAATAACAACAACTAACAAACAAAAGCTTGGCAGAAAGCAAAGCAGAGAGTGTGGCTTAGAAGAAAAGCTAGTAATGGTAGTGGCGCGGTGTGAGGGTTTATATCAACGAAGAGAAGTAGAGCAGAGAGACCAAAAACAAATGTGGCGCTGAGCAATGGAGGATTGCACGTGCTGGCCGTCGTCTAGCTAGCTCTAATCTCCACCGCCCACTTACAGTACCAAAATGTCTTTATTGGCCAGATTCTAGTCCTCAGAATCCAAAATGCAATCACACGGCAGTAGCTAATTCGGACTCTTGGAAATTAGTGATATAGGTTGATTTAATATTTTTATAAATCATACACTCGATGGAGTTGGTGTGAAAGTGGGATTGAAGGATCGTTTTTTTTTTTTTTGGTTTTCCATTCGCGATTAAGAAAATAATAAACAAGAAAATTTAAATGTAGTCACTTTTGCTATGCTTTTTCTTTTTCCCGAAAACTTCCACTATACTTTGAAATAATTTGAAGGCAACAGCTTTACGGGAAAAAAAAGGAGGAAAACATGTTTCTTTTGTGCTTTCTGCAAAAATTGAGAACAAGAATAATTGTGAATTCCGCTTCAAACTGTGAAACTGAGAGGTAAGAAGGGAAGGAAATACAAAGGGGACCGGTCTTCCTTCCACAGGATATGTGGATGTGCCTCACATGTTCTAGAAACTTGAAAACTAATAAGGAATTTAGAGGGTTTAATTTGTTTACTGTCACGTGTTTTTTTTTTTTTTACAAATGATAATCAACTATATTGATAAGATCAAACGATAGTTACATCCTGGAAATCAGTCAGGTCTGAAAATCAAAGAATCGACATGTAGTCGGGTACAAATTGAAGGCCTTTCGAGCCACCAAATGGCTATCCTAATGCTACTCCAACTTAAAAAGCGAAAATTAAACTTGGTTTGATATGGAAACACTCGGATGAGCTCCTCCAGAGCAGGCCCAATCCGATTATCTCTCGCGTCCCGCCGATTGATTTTATCAATTAGAACCTGGGCGTCACCCTGGAAACAAGTCGCCAGAAATCCCAATTCCAGACACCAACTTACTGCCCAACATTTCCGCCACCAAAGGGTCATCAATATAAGGGAACTGCACTCCACGGGCCGTAAGGATATTTCATGTGAGGTCTTTAAGCACAATCCCTCCAGCCGAATGAGACCCAATTCTCGTCGCCCCATCCCACATACAAACAATGGAATGCGTTGTACTGACAAGCCCATCTTGAATAAGGGAAACGCCAACATTCTGATCTCCGTCGTCAGGAAGAGACACCCATTCCTGATACTACTGATGAAACTATCGCATTAGTGCTGGATCCCAAACTGCTTACCCTCAAAGACAAACCCAATTACGCGACCGCCAGATCCGCCATAGGACAGCCACTACTGCTATGAACAAATGGGACTGGTCTACTAAGGACAGTAGTTTCTTAATGAAAAGAGGAAAGGTATGACGTGGCACCCCTTGGCCAAGATACTCGAGAGGCCCGATAGATCCCAAAGAGCCCGAGCTACTAGGCATTCGAGGAACAAATGCTCCATCGTCTCCTTTTCCGCCCAACACACCGAACACTAGACCTCCAACGACCACCCTGTTTATCAAGCAAGACCGCTAAGTGGTAGGCCGACTTAACTGTGAAAATCACATCAGTTGTCTCTTGCCAAATTAGTCTATCCTCAATATCCACACGAGGAAGAGGAATAGCTTTAATGGCCTGACAGACTACTAGATCAAACCATTGATTGAGCTTCTCATTACACCACTTACCCCCTCCTTGGCATATGACAGCTTCCACCTTGGGATCTCCCCCAGTCGGAAGGACTTGAGGGTTAAAGGTCGGGGCATTAGGGTGAAGAAGAGGGACCCAACTATCCGAGAGGAGTGAGGTAGTCCGACCATTCCCAATTTGCCATCGTAGGCCTTGGATAAGCAATTGAAGGCCATACAGGATGCTCTGCCACCCCCAAGAAGGTCGAGACCTGGCTGAAGCTGTTAGGAAAGTCCCACGCGGGAAATATTTCTCTTTATAGACTTGTGCCAGGAGCAATTGAGGTTCCGACAAAATTTGCCACCCAATTTTGGCCAACAAAGCTTGGTTGAAGTGTTCAAACCTGCGAAAGCCCATACCACCATCATGCTTACTAGTACATATCTTCCGCCAAGATATCCACCTAATTCTTGATCAACCACCTTCAACACCTCACCAGAATCGGGCAACATGTCTATCCAAGAGTCAACATAGGGACAGGGGCAGCTTAAAGGAGGACATCACATGCAGAGGTAAGGCTAATGCGACTGATTTGATCAAAGTCTCCGTAGCCGCCAATGACAACGTCCGTTGCTTCCACCCTTGAAGTCGGATTAACAACTTTTCCTCTAAGAATCGAAACGTGGCCATCTTAGAACGCGCAATCAATGTTGGCAACCCCATATATTTTTCATGGACCCCCACTACTCCAACCCCCAAGATTTCAGCAAGGAACTCCTAATCAGGCAGTGATACATTCTTGCTAAAGCAGACCGTCGATTTCGCCAGGTTAACCCTTTGGCCACTGAGTTCCTCATACGTGTTTAGAACCTCAATTAGGTTCTCACATTCTTGGAGAGAGCCTATGAGGAATAAGTAAGAATCATCCACAAAGAACAAATGCGAAATCCTAGGCGCCCTAGGAGCCACCTTCACCCCTTCTAGCCTTCCCCTACAATAGCCTGACGAAGGAGTGCCGCAAAACCTTCCGTACAAAGTTCTGTCACGTGCTAGTATTGAAGTCGGATTCAAATCGGTATCATTTTTGGAGTTATGTTCCCGGCCGGTTTAACTGGGTATAATTGTTGGCGGTTACCAAGCCGATTGGAAAGAGGTCGGTATTAACATTTGGTCAAAATTGGGAAAACTGGTCAATCTTTTTACGTATTTTCTACAAAAATAGACACTCGTCATAAGATTTGAACCAAGTACTCATATTTACTAGTTTCAATTATACACCAATAAGTTTCAAGGAACTTTGTTATACAAATTAACCTTATATCATTCTTCAAAGAATGCATCTAATAACCTTAAAAATCTGGAGGATAAACTCTTTAGCAAGTTTGTAAATATTTTCTTCATCAAAAGAACATAAAGAAATTTTAGAATCTAGTGCACCACTCAACTCAAGCAATTTAAATGAAGACTCAACAAGTTTGTAAATATATTCTTTATCAAAAGATTGGAAAGAAATCATCGCCCGATGAACTAACAGAGGAACTCGTTTTGGGTCCGTTTGTCTCCTCGTCCTAATTTTGTATTTTGGGAGATTGGGGAATTTTTTTGAGTTTTGACAGAGCAGTGTGAGATTTAGTTTAAAGTTTTTTGTATTATTCAATGAAACTTTACACTTTTAGTATTTTACTTGTAAGGTTTTAGGTTTCATTGTTTAATTTATTATTTTCAAATGAAAATTATTGGGGCTTGAATTTTTAGTCTAAATTTAGAATAATGGTTTGAATATATTCATCTAAACCATTTTTCAAGTTACACAAAACCATACTTTCAAATAACATTGGATCGAATTTTAAATATTATTGTGCCGAACACCTTAAATCAAAAAAATTTTACGTACTATACTTAGGGCTGCAAACGAGCCAAGCTACTCGCGAGCAACTCGAGGCTCAGTTCGATAAAAACTCGTTCGACACTCGGCTCGATTCTTAATGAGCTGGCTCGTGAGCCGGCTCATTTATTAACGAGCCAAGCACGAGCCAAGGCATCTGCAACTCGAGCAGGCTCGCAAGCTAGCTCGGATCGATGCTTGTTGAGCTAAGCTCGCGAGCTGACTCGTTTGAAGCTCGCAAGCTGACTCGATAGTGTGACTCGCGTGTTAGCTCACACAAGGTAGCTCTCTTGCTAATGTGGCTGACGAGTCAATTTAAGTTCACTAGTCAACTTGACTGTGTGACTCGCAAGGAAATTCGATAAGCTGCTTTGTACAGAGCTCCTATGTTGGCCTACTACTAGTCATTTAACTCATAGGTTGGTTAGACACTTGGACTACATATATCTCAATTTAATGTGGCTTGATATTTTGTATACGCGGTGGCCAAATAGTTGTTGCATATATTTTGTAATATAAATAAATAAATTATAGATTGATTAAATACAAATTACTCTTTAATTATATGAATTAATGATACAATATCCACATAGGCGATTTATTGTCTTTGAGTTACACTACACACATCATCACATATTGTAGTTGTTGCTCTGACTTTGCTTTTCTAAATGAACTGTTGGTATGACTTTTTTAAAATGGACTGTTGCTATGATTTGAAGTTGAATTAGTTATCGTTGAATGGAAGTTAAGGGGGTCTCGTTATTAAATCTTATTAACAAACCACGTAAATCTGTGTATTCTTTAATTTCTTGCATGTTTGATTTCCCGATCCATTCTAAGCATTGCTATTACTTAAAATATGACTATCTAAGTATGGTTTAGTTGTTTAAGGTTGAGGTTAGCGTATAGACTTTCAACATCATTATTTTAATTGTTTTAGGTAAGTGGTTAGCATTTTGATGTTAGGGTTAGGGTTACGTTTATACATTGTTTATATCACATAAATGTTTCACCTTTCAATGAAAAATATTATATAAAAATTAGAATAGCATAAAGGGTTTGTTATTTTATTACCTTTACCAAAAAGAAAGAGATTTTGTTTGACTTTTGGAAATAAGATAAGTGATTAAAGAATTTTAAATCATATAAATATTTTACTTTTCAATGAAAATATTATATAACAATTAGTAGGCTTATTATTTTATCACCTTTACCAAATAAAAAAGAGATTATGTTGACTTCTTCTAGAAACAAAAAACGATTAAACTACCCAAAGAAGCTTTTCGGCTTCTCACAATTCACAAAGCTAGAAATCACAAAGCAACTTTTGACTCTCGTACACACCACCCACTAGCGATTGGGATTTTGGACTAGGGTTTCGGTTCTGGCTTGAGAGCACCTATGCTCCCCTTCTCGACATCGACAAGAAGGCCAAAGGTAAACATGCATCTCCGCAGCCCATACATCTCTGCTGCCAAAGTTTCATCTCTTTGTGTACTTGGGTCGTGACGCTCCTTCTTTCTTCTTTTTCTGTTTCTAGATTTTGCTCGCCTCGATAAGGATTATCCTTTCACCTAGAAGATTTCATCTCTACTTTCATTGAATCTGGAGTGGTTCGTTCATTTTACCTTCCTCATTCCTTATGTATTCGACTCTCATGCTTTTGCTTTACGCTCGTGGTTGGATATGAAATTGTCCGACTTCATTTCAGTTTGACTACGTTTTTTGTTGGTCAAGTATGTTGTCTTGCTCTAAATTTTGGCTTAATGGGTTATTATACTGGTTGTGGTTTGTATTTTGACCGAGTTTGTGTTGGATCCTGAATCAAAAAGCTGGATAGTGATCTTGTAACACTAAGAAGCATGAAGCGGATTAGTTTAGCTTCGTTATGATTGAATATGAGTTTGTATTATACTTTTGCTTAGATTCATTATGATTTACTTTAATTGAATAGAGGGGGTTCAATTTTCCCATTGACTGATGTATGGTATTTTGTCACAGAATGTCTGAAGCAATGTCTTCCAATCCGAATCCATCAATTGCCAGTTCTGTTTCTACTCCTGCAAATCCCGAGAATGCAACCCAAAATCCATCATCTGCTCAGAAAGAGAATGATGATGAAGAAAATCCATATTCAAGAAATGTGAGAAAGAAAACTTCAGCAGTTTGGGAAGGCTTCAAGAATGTGGAGACAGCCGGTGTCAAGAAGTACCAATGCATACATTGCAAGAGGAAATACAAAGCAGATCCCTCAGGGGTTACATCAACACTACGAAGACACCTGAAACAATGTCCGAAGAATCCCATTGTCCTCATTGATAAAGGACAACAACAGTTAAGCCTCTCATCAACTCTTATACAAGCTGAAAGTGTTGCCTCCGTGCAGAATTTCAAATATGAGCAATCTAAGGTGCGTGAGATCATGGCACATTGTTTCATAGTGCATGATATGCCTTTTATCACTGCTGAATACGAGTTGTTTAACTTGTTGCTGAAAACTATCAGTCCACACTATCAGAAAATTAGTCGAACAACTATTCAGACGGATATTTTCAAAACTTTTGACATCCATAAAGCAAAGATAAAAACACTTCTTCAAGGTGTGACTAGGATGAGTTTGACTACTGATTTGTGGCAATCTGTTCAAACAGTGGGATATATGGTTGTTACATGTCACTTTGTTGATAAGGATTTCAAGCTACAGAAGCGAATCCTTGATTTTTGTGATGTTCCGCCACCTCATAGTGGAGTTGCTATAGCTGATTCTTTGCATAAGTGTTTGGCTGATTGGGATATTGAGAAAAAAGTGTGGACAATCACCGTTGATAATGCTTCATACAACGATGTGGCTGTTCGAAATCTAAAAGAGACTCTTAGTTTCCAAGCTCAGATTCCTCTTGCTGGTGATATGTTTCATGTTAGATGCTGTGCTCATATAATTAACATTTTGGTGCAATGTGGACTAAAGAAGATTGGTCCAATAATTGATAATGTTCGACAAAGTGTTAAGTACATTGCTGCATCTGAGAGTCGAATCAATATGTTTCGAGATATTTCTAAACAATTGAAGTTGCCTACAAAGAAGCTTATTTTAGACTGTCCTACTCGATGGAATTCAACATATCACATGATTTCTGCTGCCCTTGATATGAAAGTAGCCTTTTCTCGGTTTGCTACAAGAGATTCTTCATATATTTGGTTGCCTTCAGAGGGACAGTGGAATATGGTTTCAGAGGTGTGTCACTTTCTAAAGCTATTCAATGATGTCACTCAATATATTTCTGGAAGTGAGTATCCAACTTCCAATTTATTTCTTCCTGAGCTTTGGGGAATCAAGAAGTCGTTAGATAAGACTATAACTTCAGAGAATGGTAGTATGCAGTCTATGGCTTCTGATATGTTGAACAAATTTGAGAAATATTGGGAGGAGTCTAACATGCTGATTTCAATTGCTGCTATTATGGACCCAAGAAACAAGTTTAAGATGCTTGAAGTGTATTTTCCTGATATTTACAATGGAGCTGAAGCTGTAAAGGGGCAGATTGCACTAGTTCGCGACAAGCTTTACCAACTCTTTCATGAGTATGTTGAAGAATACAAAGAGAAGAACATGGGGAACTCAATTGAAGATGAAAGTGGCACACTTTCCTCTTCTACTTCTGTTATGTCTTCTACTTCAAGTGGCACCGGGATAAAGAGAACGGGAAGGGCAATGTTTGACTCACTTATTCGAAATGTTGATTGTGTTACTACAACATTAAAATCTGAGTTGGATATTTATTTGGAGGATGGTCTTTACATTGATCCGGATGATTGCGACCTTAATGTTATTGAGTGGTGGAAGGAGCAACGTATGAGGTATAAGGTCTTGTCAAGGATGGCTTGTGATGTTTTGGCAATTCCTATAACCTCGGTTGCCTCGGAAGCTGCTTTTAGTGCCGGGGGAAGAGTGATTGATCCAAATCGTGCATCATTGGGGAAAAAAACTGTTCAAGCTCTACTTTGTTCTCAAGATTGGTTAAGAAACTATTATGGTTTGAAAAAGAGTGTTAAGGTACTTTTTACTATATTTTTTAATTTCCAATTTATTCTTATAGTTTATTTGGTATAAATTTATCTTTTTTGTATCTTTGTAGGCTCTGACCAAGAAAGAGGAAGTTGTTGAAGTTGACTTGTCTTAATGAAGGTGTTTTGGTTAGTTTCTCTCGTTGTTCCTTTTCTGTGCTAACCTTTGTCGAATTCTTTAGTCCTTGCTTTCTCTTCTACCTCTCTCTTCTTGCTATGATGTAGTGTAGTAAGAAAAGTATTAATTATTTGGGGCTGTAATAAGAACAGCGTAATAAAAAATTTAAAAAATTCATGTCTTTCCTCTGTCTCTCACAATAGTTGTCCTTTATCTTTTTGTGGGTTGAATAATTGTTTTTTTTTTCCAGCTTAAGCCTAAAATGGGTATGGGGCGAGGCTCACTGCAACTTTGTTGCACTTAATGTGTAATTGTTTGTTATCTTATTTTTGCTTTGATTATAATGTTCTCTATTACTTTCTTTTATTCAGGTGGTCATTTGCACGACGAAATTACATGCAGGCTGCAACATGTGTCGTTGCCTTCAAGATGTCTTTTGCTTATCTTGTTTTTCTTGGTGGTCTTTAAGAAACCCTTCGTATCTATGTTTTGGGTCTAGTTGTTAGTCATTTCCATGATTGTAACTTCACAGGAGACGGTAACATGTTATTTTGAAGACCCTATTAAGTAATCAATCATGGTTGTAATCAAACAGGTTGTAATTTGATATTAAATGTGTGAATGATTATATATTTTGTTAAAACTAGAGAAACTTTCAGGTTTGGTCAAGCCGAGCTTTGATCAAAAGCTTCAAAGGATTTTGGCTCGCTGATTTTGGCTTGTTGAGCTCATTTGCGAGCTAGAATCGAGTCGAGCTCGAGTCGAGCCCGAGCTCAAATTTTTCCTTTCGAGCCGAGCTTGAGCTTGAATTGTATAGCTCGTATCGAGTTCGAGCCGAGCCCGAGCTGAGTTATCCTCTCTCGAGTTCGAGCCCGAGCTGGGCAAAATCTCGGCTCAGCTCGGCTCGTTTGCAGCCCTAACTATACTACCTCTGGATCGGAGGAGGGCTGGCCGTGGCCCGGGGTGGCCTAGCCCTAGATCCGCCACTGGGTTCGCGCCACTATGTTGAACCAGGCTACTGATGCCACATGATGAGCCCTAGCTAGTGTCTCTTGGAGATCATCATCACACAGCCTTCTAATTCAATCGTTCAATTGAAACTTTGAACAAGAACACAAAAGCAGGGTGGTGTTGGTGCATGTGTTTAAGTATGGAAATTTTCATGCTATCTTTCCTATGGAAGAAGGCTTGAAAGGTAAAAGATAGAAGCTGGGTAGGATCAATGGGGTTAATTGATTGATACAAGCGAATCAAACAACCTAAAATCCACTAGGAAGCTCGGTACATTCACAAGACGAATGGCTATGAACCAAAACTCTAGGTTTGTATTAAATTGAACGGAATATGAGTTTACAACGCAAACATAAGACTTTAAATAGAAATAATCTAAGATACAAACTCTAAAAGATGACCTAAACACAAAAGATTTCGAAAAACAAACTCAAAACAAACAAAGACTAGAAATCTCAATACAATAAGGAAACAAATTACTTAAATTGCAATGCAAGACAGTTTTTGCTAGACTCTATACGATCTTGCCATGTTCGTTAGAATCCTCAGAGGGATCCCCTTTCTCATCTGATTCGATTAGGTTGTAGAGAAAAGTATGTACTTTCATGCCCCAAGACTCTCGTGCTTCGACTCTTCTTCCTCCAGCACGAGTAAGGTCTCGAAGTAGGGTAGTTAAACTCGTTTCCATACTTGGCCAAAATTTGACAGTTTCCCAGTATTGACATAGCAACTTGAGGGCTTGGGAATATTAGTTTAATGACTTGTTTCTAATAATCAAATCCTTCAATCATGTAGAACAATACTTGGACTTCACTTCCATTCATTCTATTTGAATTTTCATCGAGCCATTTGATAGAACCATCCTTCCAAAGTAGGCAACCTAAAATAGAACAAACACTTAGCCAATTTTCAGATCCTTTCTTGCTAGCTTGGGTTAATTGATCAGATCCTTTCTTTATCAAGCAATTGAAACTATGATAATGTTCTAATTGGGATCATATCAAAAAGCTCTTTAGTAATGCAGTTCACATGGATAGGTGGTATATTGAAGGTTAAGACTCTAAAGAAGTTGCTGAGGCCATTCGAGAAGGTGGGCGAGATGCTGACTTTTAGGAAGAAGGGGACCCCAACTGCCCTCCTATTCACTTCACTGCAGCGGAAAAGAGGAAGTTCAATCGTGAATGGCGTTCAACGCTATTTGTTAAGGTGTGGGGCGTTCAACGTCTTACACCGCGTATTCCGGCGCATGAATACAATATGAGTTAAGGCGAAAGGCATTCACGTCACCTCAGTGAAGTGTTGAAGAAAAGGAAAGTCAGAATTGCCATTTGAAGGCCAAAAGAAACCGTTGCTAATTTCCAGGAGCAGAAATGGAAGTCCAAGCAATCAAGTGTGAACCTTCCTTACCAAGTGACAACGGCTATTGCTGCAAGTCCTATATATTGACTGTGACTTCTTGTTCTTTGACAACTTCGCAATGGAAAGTGGTATAGGACTTTAGGGTTGCAGAGGGTTTGAAAAATTTAGAGGCAGAGGTTCTAAATTGTCAAGGTTGTACCAACAAGATTTGTTGGGGTTTGGATTTCACAATTTCTTTTGTTCGATCTCTTGTGTTGGTTCTTTCTTTGAGTCGTTGTTTACATTGCTTGATAGGTGAAAATCGAAATAAAAAGTGTCTCCTAGAAATCAGTGGGTACTTTGGGTACTTATTTTAGGATGAGGACTGACCAGTAGTTTGGGAACCTCATTAAAGTTTTTGTGTTCTTGTATTTTTCCGCTATCTTCTTCTCTGTTTCAGTTCTTTCTTTTCTTGCTCTGTTCTTCAACTATTCTCTGTTTCCTTTGTTCTCGTTCCAAGGGAGAAGAAGAGAAGGCTGCTGATCGGGCCAAGACTTATGTCTCTGATGGGCTTGCATTTGCTTAAGCCCGTTTCTCTTCCTCACTTATTATTTAAGTCCTTTACTTATTTGCTTGGGCCAAGTCCTTGTATTCTTTCATCCTAACGTGAGAAGGAAAGAAGACCAAGACACTTCGAGTTCTTCTCAATCGCCTTCTTCCAAATCTCCTTTACTTTTGTTTACCAGTCTAATGTCAAAGCCCTAAAACTCATTTTTTTCACTCCATAGTCATTTTGACAATTGGTATCAGAGCAGGAGCTTGACGAAGCTAACTACTGCCAATTATAAGATCCATGGCGTCTTCAAATTTTGGTCGTGCAGTTCTCAACTCTCCTCCTATCTTCACTGGCTCAAATTACACGGCCTGGAAGAAGAGGATGAAGATGTTCCTCTAGGCAATTGATGACGAGCTGTGACTGGTTGTCCAAAATGGTCCAGTTCAAATGGATGTTGAAAATTAATCCGAGTAGACTGCAGTTCAGAAGAAAAATGCTCAGTTAAATCAACGGGCGATGCATGTCTCGCAAGCTGCGATGATTACGGATGAAGCCGACATGGTCGAGAATTGCGAGATAGCAAGGGAGATATGGACTTCTCTGGAACGCACCTAGGAAGTTACTTCTAATATAAAAGAGACGTGTATAGATTTACTTATGCATGATTATGAAGCCTTTGATATGACAGCTAACGAAAGCATTCAGGAAATATATTCTAGATTTACTATTTTAATAAATAAATTGAAAGGGCTAGGAAGGAAATTTCAATCTAAAGATCTAAATAGAAAAATTCTCAGATCATTGCCAAAAGAGTGGTTGCCAAAACACACTACTATTGAGGAAGCAGAGGATCTGAGAACTCTGTCTCTAGATGAATTAATTGGTTCATTGCTTAGTCACGAACACGTCATAGAATAGGTAAGTCGAAACGATGATAAACATCGGAGAAGTCTAGCTTTTCAAACTCATGTTATGGATGTTGAGTCTGATGTTGATTCAAATACTAATTTTGAGAAAGAATTTGCCTTAATTACCAAGAAGTTTCACCGTATGTTAAAATATAAGAATGAACGAAAGAGAATTATTGAAAATTCTAATAAAGTAGATTCTGTTGAGCATAACAAATTTGTTCAAGATAGACTGCCTTATCAGTAGACAAGAGAAACAAGTGCAGAGTTGCAAGATAAAGATCCACAAGCATATTACAAATGCGGAAAGAGTGGACATATCACATCAAACTGCCCCCTAAAACTTAAGGCAAAAGAAAGAGTCATAATGGCCTCATGGAGTGACTACGAATCTGAGTAAGAAAATGAGCATGGTGATGAAGAAGCCTTCATGGCTTTCTCCTTGGACCTCGAAGGTAACTCTTCTAGACCAACTGCAGAACGTCATTTTAAAACAGCCAATATGGATTCGGGCCTAATTGTACATATTTTACCCCGTTTTCCTTAGGCGTATGTGGCAATTGTGCTCCTAAAATGTTGGTTTTATGGATCTAGCAGGTGAAACCAGTCCCGGAGTCGAAAGTTGGACAAAAAGGAGCGAAAACCGGGAGAAGGGGTGAAAAACCATCAGTTCACGACTTTCCTTGAAAGTTCACGGTCTGATTAGACCGTGAAGAAGAGTTGTTGCCCGTGAACATCAAGGTGTCCAGGGCCAAATCTTAAGTTACTGACGCTAATTGAGTTCACGGTCACTAAGAGCGTGAACTGGAGCTGTTTCCCGTGAACCAAGAAGCAAACCGGTGCATTTCAACGCCCATTTTGAGTTCACAGACGTGTTTCAGAGTTCACGACCGTGAACTGAGATCGTGAACTAATGAGGATCCCTATTTAAAAGAAGAGCTGAAAGGAAGAGAGAGAGAGAGCCCAAAAGAGTGAGAAAGTCTTCTTCTTCAGATAGTACCCCATCGTCCTCGGGGCATCCTCTTCTTCCGCCGCATCGTTCAACTGGCGGGCTTGAGCGCCATCTTGCCTTTGGTTCCACACGATTTCCACTTCAATGACGGGTTCAACTTCCACTTCTTCAACTATTTCTCCACTTACACCGGGACCCAAACGTTGTCCCCCTCTTTCACTTCTTCTCCTTGC